ACAGCCCCTCCCCTCCCCTCCCCGGCGCATCGCCGGCCCTGCCATGTTATTCGCAGAAATAGCGCACCCGCTCGCCGTGCGGTCGGGGAGGCTTTGCCCTCCGCTCTCCTCCTCCTCGCTCTGCCGCTGCTTTCCGCCTTGCCGTTCATGCAATGGGGTTTGCTTATTTATTTATTAACTTACTACTCCACTGCCGGGTGACGCTGCCATTTGCTTTCGTGCGAGCAGCGGGGAACGGCAGCGCATCAGCTTTCCCTGCCTTTTTTTTTTTTCCTCCTCTTTTTTTTTTTTTTTCCCCAATACCTTCCTCTTTTAATTCCCCTCCCAAAAAAAAAAACCGTGGCGAGACAGAAAGTTTCACAGATCATGAATTTGAGCGGTTCTGCCGGTGCCCGTTGACGTGAAAGGCAAATAAACGTGAATTCAACTTGAGGGGGGGCCGCGAATAACAGGATCAAGATCCTAGAGCGTGCGAGGCTCCTCACTTAGTCGGACCCACGTACGTTTTTGGGGCTGCGTGAGAAGGCAGCTTGGGGACCCTCGTACCCCCTAGTCTCCAGCCAGAAGGCTGCTGGGGTCTGCCCAAACGCAAGCAGCCAACCCATGGAGGATCAGTCCTTACCTGCGATAAACTAGCTTAACTTACAGGCATGGCACGCACCTCCTGCGCCTCTCCGGCTTCCAAATGTCTCCAGAAATACTTAAAACCTCACCTGTGTATCGGAGCCATCATTGCTAAAACAGTGGGACATGTTCTGGACGCTGCGGGATTTGCATGAGCTCTCACAGAAGGCTGGGGTTTGATGCAATGCAAAACTGACTTTTTTTTTTAACAGCCTCTCGCATCACTTTATTTCTTCAAAATGTTCACAAGTTGGGAAGAAAAGTAAGTGTTTGCATTATCTCTGCAGATGCTTCAGGAAACCACGATGAACTCATTATTATGTTGTGAAACTAAATCCATAAAGCAGTCATGATGAGTAACTCAGGGACTCGTCGTAATTGGGCAGTAATGCACAGTTTTATCATCTGGAGGATTCTGGTGTGCTCAATGTGAGCAGGGATTTACAGCAAGGTTCCCTCTCAACTGTCAAAAAAATTAGCCTACCAAGCCATTGTTTATTTAATTACTGTTAATTTTCCACTTCCATCACTTGGTTGCCAAGTTCTGTGTGATTTAATTGTGAACTTTACAACATTTGGTGCCTTTCTCAAAGTTGTAGCTCCTGGACTCATACAATTATGCAAGAAACATGGGTTGTTTTTTTTTTAATTAAGTTTCTAGCCTGTGGGTTTGTAGATATGAGCTTGAAGACACAAACCTTAAAGGCACAAAAAGAAGGTATGAAGCAAATAGTCATCCAAAAATGTCTGCCTTTTTTTTTTTTTAATGTCACATTGTTCAGCTTCTTTTTGAGGCAGTCCTTCCTTTTTTTTGTTGGTTTGGTTTTTTTTTTTTTTGCAAGCTAGGTGTGATCCTGAACAGCAGGGTTAATGGAGTACTTAAAAAATCACAGAAAATATCAGAGTGCTCATCAAATAGTGACTGATAGGTGCACAGTTCATGGGTTAACAGGTAAGGTCACGTGCATGAGACTAACCAGAAAATCTTATCACAGTAGGTTCTCTAATGTGTCCAACTGTGACAAGTAGTGTTATTGTTAGTACAATAAAAATATTGCACAGTTTTAAATAAATGTACATTTGCTTTTAATACTTTTTTCTACTCTACTTCTACAGCCACTTGATAGATCAAGTCATACTGTGATCAGGTTGGTTACTGTCAGATCTGTACATTAGTTTACTGCAATTTGCAGGGTCCAGCCCTCTCCCTTCTCTCATCCCTCTAATCTCCAGTCTGTAACCAATTTTTAAACCCCTCTGAAAATCCCAGCCCCGATGCTCAGATTTTTCCCTCGCCATGTAAACTTTTACTACTGGCAGTTCAAGCCGTGGAGGCCAAGTGTTACAACCCAGAGAGCAGCCTGGATTTTACCTTCAGTTAGGGTTTGAAGCAAGAAGAGGAGTCAGCTTACTCTGAAATCAATCAGACCAGCATTGCTTTTGTCCTTCAGAGTTTTTGAGAGAGGCGCCAGAAAAATAAATACCGAGTAAAACCTGTTTATTTCACTGGTTGTTATCTTGCTGGTTAACAAGCAAGTTAAAAGAAGCTAGAATGAGTGATTAAGCGTTACTAGAGATTCGGCATGTTTATTCTGCTGAGGGGTCAATATGTGCAGTTTGACTAAAGTTTGTTTTAGAGATGAACTTTGGACAAAGTTCAAAGAAAAAAATAATCATTAGCTGTTACCGTAGATGTGCAAAGAAATTTTACATGGTCTGCCTTAGAACTCAGACTGTGATGAGTATGTTGTGATCCAGCTTATATTCAGGATGTCTTGCCCACAGTGATCTTTGAGTCACAGCTGGGTAGAGTACCTTGGACCATTTTATACCTTGAACTCAGCTGTTTTAACCACAGATCCTGATCATCACAGAGAAGTTGAAAGTTTTTCCTTTAAAAACAGCACACACACACACACTACTTCTTTGTTCAGTCTTGTGACGATGAAGAGGAGTGATCCCAGCCTCCTTGCTGCTTAGATTCACTTCCACGTCAGCAAGAAGGGCCTCCACAGGTGTAGCATTCACCTTCTAGTAGCATCAGAACTGGTTTCATGTACGAAATTGGAAGCAACAGTAGCATCAGATGCACAGTTAAATGCTTGAATAAACTGGCTGGGTTTTGTTTGTTGGCTTCGTACAGAGATACCTAGCATGCTTTCCTTGCAGTGAAAGGAAATCTTGCTAGAAGCCTAGGGAAAAAATTCCCTCCTTTGCTTGCTGAGTCTTTGTGCACAAAGCTGCCCTCTGCACCTCTGCCTCCAAATGTGGTGTTTGTGCTGCTCATCAGAAGTCATGATTCGGTTTGTCAAGATTTTCCCCTTTCTGTTTGATCACATCACCCTGGATGCTCACCCAGTCCTCACCTTCTGCCACATTTGTTTCCTAAAAGCACTTACAAATACAAGGCAAGTCTGACGCCTTTTCAAAATTAGTGCAAAACTCACAAAAATCAACAGGCTTTTGATGAGAATTTGGAAGCAGGTGCTCGATGATGTTTCTCATTGAATGTTATTTCTCCAGTTTGGGTGAGTTTTAGAGAAAGAAGCACAGTCCACATGAAGTTGTAGTGCAGGGGCATCTCAAGAATAATCAGTTGTCATTACTGACAATTATTGCACTAACCATTCAAAAATAACAAGTTACATCCTAATATGCTAGATTTGCTATAGCCAGCCCATCTCACAGTGCTGTTTGCTGAGAATACTCAGAACAAAATCCAAGAAGACATCAGTTAACATGCAGAAACGCTCTTGTAGCCACTCACGTTAAAAGGAATTAACAGCAAGCGCAAAGGCTCCTAAACTACAGGTCACAGATTAAATTGACAACAGAGTAGCCACATAGCACTTTCTCTTTCACTGGTTTTCAGCAACAAAATTACCTTAAAAAAATAAACCAGGAGTTAGTTACTTGCCTATTGCTGTTTTTCACTGTGCTTTTGGCAGGGATGCTAGATGGCTGCAAATAAGGGGAGATAGCCTGTGCAGCCATGCCTAAAAGAGAAAGCCATAAGACCGTTTCAGGCAAGACATACCCCAGCCTAAGAAAACAGTTGGGAACCTGCCTGTTTTTCTCATCGGTGTTTGAACACAGGGTTATCTCTCCAGCAGGATCCAGGCAAAGAGCTGCTTCTACAAGCAAATGCCTTCCTCTTCCCAGGGTCAGGGAATGATAGGGCATCACTCACTTCCAGGCGATAAGGAAAATTAAACAGGCGGTTTAGACCACCAGTTGAGGCCAGAGCCTGAAAACATGACGCACACGAGACGCCGTTAAGGACATCAGCAGAAGTACAAACTATGTTGCTTAACACAACAACCTCCAATTTCAACCATGGATTATTGACTTACATAGGAGGTATTGCTTACAGTAGCCAGTGAAGCAGACTCCTGCTTACCCTGCCCCATCCGAAACGACTTGCTCACTCAGCAGCAGTCGGTCGGTCGGTCCAGCCAGGAGTGGTGCGGCTGCAAACCTTGCTCTTCTGATGCTCTGCTTGGGAGGCAGCAGTTGACTGGATGAGCTAAAGACGCTCGTAGGAGTGCATTGCCTGGGATCTCTGTTCTAGGAAAGGCAATTCAGCCTTCGGGCTGCCCTGCTCCTTTTGCAAAATTCATGTTCTCCAGGCTGCCTGCAGCAGCAGAGCCAAAGCAGGCCTGTCAGTGCAGCACAGCATCATGCCTGTAGTGGGATTTCACTGGGGGTGCAAGCTCTTCTGAGGTTAGCCTTGAAAGGATGAAGCCATCTCGCTTTCTCTTCCCCTGATCACTTACTGGTTTGCTTATCAGAGATACTGGTTATTTCATACAGAAAGTAGAGGACTGTAGTGCAGAGGGGTTAGCCTGGCCTGTTGCACCAGAGAGCAGGGGGGACCCGTGAGACCCCTCAAACCTGCCAAGAGCTCCCAGAGCTTTTCTTCTTCCTTGGCTCCCTTCTTAGGGTTTCACTCATGTTAACGTTTCGGTATGTAAAGTCAGGAAGGCTGGCAGCTCATTATCTGATCTGACCTCCAGCAAAATACTGGCTATTTCAACCAGTAATTCTGTATCAGATCTGCAATTTGGGGAGGCCAGAGTGTATCTTACCCTTCACAAGCCATTGCTTTCTGCTTCTGGAGGTGCATCTGCTTTCAGAGAGTCTGGTGGTCTGTCTGCTTCCAGACT